GCAGTCTGAGCATCTACAGACCGAGGCGAAGACGTGCGGGGGGGGGAAGCTGGTGAGATCAGTATGTCTTAAAATCAGCTCAGAGGAAGACTGCGGTTCCTAACAGGATTCTACTGGCAGCGTGAGCAGACAGTCTTGGCAACAGTCAAAACCAAATGCACTGCACTGTTCTGTTGAGATTTCAGGGAGTCAGAAATTAGATCAGCTGGGTTAACTCGTAGATTCTTTTGCAAGGCAGAGCTGTTTGCTGTGTTCTGAACAGCATTTGCAGGGCTCCCGTAGGAAACAGCTCTGTCTAGCCTGTTCCTGCACCTCACCAGCATCCCACTTACATCTTTCTTTTCTTTGTGTCATTCTGTTGGTCCAGGTAATGCCCTGTCAAGGGCCTCCCAAATGTTCTCTCTCCTCTCTTCAACCGCTTATGGTCTTTACCTCTGTCAGTGCTGATACCTGGATTTTTTTTCCAGGGTATCACTGGGCAGATTAGTAAATTCCAGTAAGTAGTAAATTGAAAGTGACTTAGAGCATGGTGTGCAAGCCCTCGCCCAACACATGCTCGTATGTGCCACTCTCCTACTCAGGCCCCTTGCTCTGGGCACAGGACAGGTTGGTCCTCACCTTCCTAGCACTGCAGCCAGCCGGGGTGGCCACCTGCCTGGAAACCAGCCTTTAGCCAAGGCAGATTCTCACAGGGGCTCAAACCAAACCCCAGGGTGGCTGGAATTTGATTCTGAATGTGGAGCTAAAATGAGCATGCCTGGTATCAACTCCACAGAACCCAACCAGAAACCACAGAAAAAATACTTCCAGGTGGTGGTTCAGAATGAATTTGTCAAAAACACGCTGTCCCTCGTGGAGATCTGCTCAGCATGGGGACTGCAGTGCCCACGAGGGTCAGCAGAGCCATATCACAGTCACATCTCACCCTCTCTTTGCTGAGGTCCTGTGTCCATGCCTCATCACTGCCAGCCAGCACCACTGGCCTGTGCTTCCAGCTTGGTGGAGACACATTTGTCCTGGGCTGCATGCATGTGGATAGTCATGGGTGGGAGGGAGGAGGGGACATTAGCTCCCATTTCCCTTTTCTTGGCACCATTCATATTCCCAGCCCGCTCCTGCAGCATCTCTCCAGCTTCCATGTCAGCTTTAAGCACCTGGAGAGAGGCAGAAGCTCTGTGTGGGGAATGTGAACAGTGCCAGGCCTCTGGCAAGGTGATGAGGGAGAAGGACGGAGACCTCGTGGTCCAGGCCTATCTTCCTTTCACCATCCCATTCACCTTTAACTGCTGGCATCTCTGGTGTCTACCAGTGCCAGCTAGCTTGGGTTGAACAAACAGCTAATAAGATGTTACTGGCCAGTTAATTAATGCTTAGACTGGCACAGCACACCTCAAACCAAAAACTACTGGTTTAGGTCCTTCTTCACTCCTGCCCAATGACAGAGAGCGCAGCAGCTCTCCTCCCGTACACACCTAGTGCCTAGCAGCCATGCCTGGCCAGCCCCAGCTGTCTGCGCTTCCTAGGTGTGCGTCAGCAGTGGGACTTAATGTGATCAAGTGGCCTTAGACTGCGAAGAGACCCCCTCCTGCAGACCCCACCTGCGCAGGAGACTGCTGCTCCCACTGCCCTGCAGCTGGGGGTAACGCTGTGTGCTTGTCCACGGCAGCCTGGGTATGCCAGCGTTGCTCTGATGGCTTAGGTCCATACTGATGTTGCTTGGTTCAACGGCAGCACGGTCGCACGGGCAGCTCACCCGGCAGCCTTGGGAAGGCAGGTGCCTCCTGCAACATGCAGCAGTGCCTGGGAGCGTGGTGGTAACTCCAGGTGTGCACTGCCCAAGCATCTACACCCTTACTGTAGAAACTACAGCAGCAGAACAGTGTAATTTCACATCAAGGGCACAAACTAGCCTAGTGCTAGTCACCAATATTCTGCCATCAGTATCAGTTGCTTTTTTATGCTTTTTATTTGCAGTAAAAATAACTAAATGGCCATTTTAGAAGCACCTCCTTTCTGGCCGCCTTCTACTCCGGTACACTGTTAGCAACCCTACACCCCCGTATACTATTAGCAACCATACCCACAGCACAATACCTCCAGTGTGCTGCTGCGGGGTTCCTGCTAATGTTATTTTTTCTTTGCCTTCTTCGCCGCAGGGGAAATCTGCTGACTCGAACGCTAGCAGACATTGTGCATAAAGAAGACTTTGTTCTGAATTCCGAGTATCTTATCACGCTGCTCGTCGTGGTGCCAAAGTAAGGCAATAGTGCGTGCGCGCGCGCGCGCTCGGGGTGGCATTGAGTTTCAGGCCCAAGCACCGGATCCAGGCGGTACTGGGTCAGGCTGGGGCAGCTCACCAGTGCCGCGGCTGGGGCTTCGCAAAGAGGGGAGAACAGCTGCTGCCAAGGGTGGTGCTGGCGCAAAGGATAGAGACAAAGACTGCTCTGAACTCGGAGCAGGACAGAATCGGGACGTAGGTTTTTAATGGCTACAGAGTGGGTTCTCTAACAGCCTTCTGGCAGGAATAGTAGTACGAGTTAAAAAAAAGAGAAAAACAGATTCTTACCGGAGCTTAGCCACTTTATAAAAGGAATTAGACCTGTCAAACTCAGAAGGCCTCTGCTGGCTGTGTATTCGTAAGTGCCTCCATGTAGATTGACTGCCATCACCGTCAGTTGTGAAGTTACGTGATGTCCTTCTCAGAAGCCTACACAAAACTTCTCCTCTCTGGATAGCCCTGTGCCAACACACACACACAGTACCATCACTTTTCTATCTGTGAAGGCCATGTTCCAAAATGCTATCCGAGGTAAATTTGTTGAGTTTATTATATGCACATTCCTTCAGATTTCCCCTGTAAACGAGACTTCTCGCTTTCCAAACTCTCACCATCCCTGGACCCCTTTCTCCCAGTGCTGGCCCTTGCCGTGTTCGCTGCGTGGCCCCGGATCAGCTCGGGACTGCACACCGCAGACGCACCGCACCTCCCGTGGATCGGGGCAGCTTGCGCAGGGGTCCTGGAGCACGGGACACGCGGTGGCAGCCTGGAAGTGCGTGCCAAAAGCCACCTTCTTCCCACCATCAGCTTCCTGCTCTGGGCCCTTCCTCATGCCAAGACCCAAAGTGAGGATTGAGGGTGCGGCGTTGAGGGAAGCATGTCCCTAGCCTGTGACTAGGAAAGGACAGGAGAGGCTTAATGTATCTTAATCACATAACCCAGCACGAAGAGCTCCAACCCTTCTACCCTAAGGCCTTAGCTTAATCAACTATATTTATCAACACGTTTGCTTGCTAGTATATAGTATTTATTTACTGTGCTTTGTTTTGTGTTGCTCAAAGGTCAAGCTACGTGCAGTGGCAGAAGACCTATGAATCCCTCTCTGATATGGTAGTGCCTCGCTCCACCAAGTAAGTGAAATTCCACATTAAGGTCCCTGTTTGTTTCAGAGATCCCTGCCGTATTTCAGCCCCTCAAATTGCTGGATTCTGGAACGAATCACTTGACTAACACATGGCTCCATGCTAACACACAGATTTGCCCAGTCTCATTCTCAGTTGAAATCAGAAATTACTCTGCTGAAGGGAAGTGCAGATGAAAGAAAAAAAAAATCATCACTGTTATTTTTACAAGTAGCTTGTTGTTCCCTTTTCCAGCAATCTAGTTCTTTCTACTTTCAACCAGGGCCTTTGCTTTCTGCGTAAAAACAGACCAACAATTTCTTACAGTAATCCAGGCATAATTTAGACACACGCTATCACATAGAACTTATGGAAACTACTTTTTACGAAGTGCAAACACTAGCTTTGCATCTTTAATTGCTTCCTGCTGTAGAATAGGATAATTCTGTGTACTGTCCTTTGCATTAGCAAATGCCATATTAATTTATCCTTTCACCTGGAGTAAAAAATCCTTCCTAGAAATTAAATGTTCCACTTCTCAGCTCACGCAGACCATGAGGTCCGATCCAGGGCACAAGAGGTGACAGCGCTAATGAAAGAAGCAGAAAGCACAGAGAAAGAAGAAAGCTGTGTGCTACTGCCTGTCTCAAACAGACAAGTGCTTGGGAAGTGGGGGAACGTTACCAGGAACACAGAAAAATCAGGCAGGCAGAATGTGTGTGTAATATGACGGACCTCATGAACTTAACTCGTGGGAGTTTTACATTGGAGACAGCATGGCCGGTGCTCCCTATGTCAGTCACAGCAGTTGTTGAAAAGCAAGGTGTTGTTCAGTATCATAAATGAAAAAAAGAACCTTACCTTTGGTGAAGGCGGCATGAGGGATTTGCCCTGTCCAGTCACAGCAGTGGATTTCCCTCCCACAGAATGATTGCTGAGGATGCAGAGGGAGGACTCTTCACTGTCACCTTGTTTAGAAAAGTGATGGAGGACTTCAAGGCTAAAGCCAGGGAGAACAGGTAAGGAGCACCGACTGCGAGGCAGGGCAGGCTAGCAAGCAGACGATGAGGACAAGGTGAGGCTGTTCTGTGTGCAGTACAGCTGAATCCACCACTGGTTTTTAGGACATCTTTACTGTTTGGGCTGCTGCTGGCCTTAAAGCCACTGAGAAGGCAGGGTGGGAAGGAGCTGTGGCAGCAGATACAGGGATCCTGCGTTTCAAGCACCAGACTACAGCTCCTGGAATTGTCCTCCTTGCTCTCGTGCTACTGACAGCAGGAAGCTTGCTTTCTGCGGGTGACTTCAATTCCCACCCTCCACATACTTTAACTGGTTAAATGGCTAGCAGCTTTGAAACATCCCATACCTGCTTCTCCAGAGGTAAAACGAATGAAAGAAATGAGTGTGCATATCGTTTGGACTACAGCTTATGAGAACAAGTGTCATTCAATTCTAGGTTCATGGTTCGAGAATTTTATTTTGATGAGAAGGAACTGAAATGTGAAAAGGAAGAGCTGATGAAACTAGCTTCTGATAAGAAACAACAATATGTAAGTAGCACATCAAGTTGATGGCCCAGTAGAATGACAGCCATTGTTACCAGCTTGCCTAAGCACCTCTCACTCAGAAATGGCTCTATGGTTCCAACAGACTCCTGCGAGCTCCATTTAGCCCAGAAGACTGAGGCATAAGATAGGTAACACAGTTTGCTGGAGGTCCTTTCAGTTTCTGAGAAACCTGCCAGACTCCTGCGAGCTCCATTTAGCCCAGAAGACTGAGGCATAAGATAGGTAACACAGTTTGCTGGAGGTCCTTTCAGTTTCTGATAAACCGGCAGCCACTAACAGACTGTCTGAGAATGATCTGAGCAACCTGTAGCGCCGCAGGGGTGTTGGCTACGGAGCCGCTCCACGCAGCGAGGGGATCACGGTGCTGTCGTGTCTGTTCTCCCAGGGCCCGTTACTGCGCTGGCTGAAAGTGAACTTCAGTGAAGCATTTGTGGCTTGGATTCACGTGAAAGCCTTGCGAGTTTTTGTTGAATCTGTCCTGAGGTAAGTGGGTTAACACGCAGTGCCGGCAGAATTCCTGTAGAATGCAAAACGTACAGCTCTCTTCCTGGGGCAGTTCCTTCCTGGGAGGGAACATCCCTTACACACCACGCTCCAGCAGCTCACGGGAGACAATGCAGATGACCATAAGAAGGTGACACACAAAGCTGATGAAAAACAGTTCTCTGGGGGCACTTACAGGGAAGCGGAAAACAGACAGACACTGTGTAGTTGAATTTTGGCTTCAAAAGGAGAACGCTTTCAGCTGAGGAGGCAGCACCCACCACCACGGTCGTGCACTGCAGCGCACCATCGGCCAGCGTGCCAGGAGAAGGGCAGGAGCGGGAAGGCGTGCCCCTTCCCAGCAGATGATCGCATGTGTTGGTGTGTTTCAAGGTACGGCCTCCCCGTGAATTTCCAAGCAATGCTGCTGCAGCCAAACAGGAGATCTGTGAAACGCCTGAGAGATGTCCTGAATGTGGTCTTCAAGCACCTGGATGAAGTTGCAGCAGCAAGTATAATGGATGTACGTATTTTGACTGTGACTGCACGTGCTGTAGCTTGTCGCGGTGTAGCCAAATGAACGTTTCTACAGTCCAGGGGTCAGAGGAAGCAACTCCTCACACCCTGCAATGCTGGGATCCCCAGATGCAGCTCTAATCCCCGGGGGTTACAGTTTGGGTTAGGGTAACAGGTAGGTGCAGATTATGATGGAGATGTGTAGAGATTGCTTACATTTTCTGGTACAGCATCTGCTCTTTATAGCTACCAGACTGAAATAGCTCAATTACGTCAGTTCCTCTAGGTAAAAAACTTCAAGTCTTCTAAAAACATTCAGATCAAGACAGGCAAGAAAAATTAATTCAGAACTAAATGCTAGGACTGTGACACCCCCCGTCCCCTGTAAAAGGCTGTCACTGACTAAATACCCCAACCTAGGACTTCAGCAAGCAGCGGTACTTGCTTTCTCCCTCCCCATATCTCGAGTGCACAAACAATTTAGGATAAAACAATTAGGATAAACCAGTAGTGTTAAAACAGCCTAAAACCAGTAAGCATAAGATTCCCAGTGCATGAAAGGAGGAGAAAGAAATGAGTTGCTGTAGAGCTGCAGCACACAGAAGTGCTACAATACACATTCATAAACCTGCAACAACCAAGCGTGAATTCTGCATTAGGCAGCCTGAAAACAACAAGCAAACACCAGATTCTCCAGGGTGAATTTCCCATCTCAGGCACAGCAAGCACACAGCTGGAAGAGGAGCACAAAACCAATCCACTGTAGCTTGGACCTGGGCAAGTTTGTTTACTGGTACTAAGGTCATATTGTTTCCTTTTGCAGCCTGGCATGGACATCCCTGGCTTACAGCTGAGTAATCAAGAATACTATCCTTACGTCTACTTCAAGATTGACCTCAGTATTCTTGACTGCAGTTAAAAAAATTGCTCAAGCTTCATCTAATCGCTTTCAAGAACCTAATGTTATGTAGAATAATCTTTAGCTGCTGAAAGTAAAATTAAAATTCAGATGCTGTAGCAGGATAATCACATAAGATTTTCCCACCAGTTCCAGTAATTTTCACAGCGACTTCAACAAAGTATCTCTTGTTCATAGGCTTACAAAAACATATTTCAGAGGCAGGAGGTACTATGGTAGTATTTATTTTTTTTTTTAAGTTACAAAGATGGAATATCTATTGGACTTGAAATAAAACAACTTAAAAAGTGTGGTGGCTAATGGATCTACTAGGTGTGCACAGTCCTGTTTTTCTAACTAAAGCAAACTTAAAAAAAAACACACAGAAAAAGAAGAAAGCATCAGAGCAAAACCCAAAGTTTTTTTAAATCTAAATAAAGCTGAAGAAAGATCCTCAAAATTGCTGTGGAACTCAAGTGTAGTATGACTTCTAGTCCCAAGTTTAGTTTTTGCCCAGACATTTCAGCTGAAACAGTTCCATTAGATCTCATCTGCAGGGATGACTTAGAGCTGGAGCACATCTCCTGCCCCAAACCAGCAGCCAAGTTACCACTGGCTGCCAGTGGTTGTCATACTGCCTTTCACAGGGACAAGGCATGGGCCATCTCTTACAGACACCAGGTGACAGCGACCCATATTATTTCCTTGCAAGGAGAGGAAACTTTCAGTTCCTTCATTCCTTACTTACAAACAAGCTGATCACATGAGGGTCACTTCACTACACACCGATACATAAGACATGGAGAACAACAAAATATAATAGTATTTTTATTCAAAAAAAAGCAGCAGTAGCCATCCCTATTCCCAGTCCTGATTCCCCTTCCAAAGAAATAGCAATTTCAAATGGAAATAATGCCAGATGGGAAGCGAAGAAATGTTATCCAATTTGCTGGAGACAGCACCATGGAGTTTTTCTGTTAGCACCTGGAAATCCTCATGCCCTAAAATGGAGATCAGCTTCACTGCTAATTCTGGGGAAAAGGCCAACAGCACCCAGTGTCTCCCACTGCAGCAGCAACCCCACTCCCTCTGTTTTAATGATCTTCAAAGTCTGGCACAAAGAAAGAGAAAGCCCCTGAGAAGGAATAGGAAAAGGAAGACTAAAGAGCATTTAGACTAAAACTGTCCATCTAACCAGGCTCTAGGCCAAACTGCCAAGATGGTTCACAGCAAGGGGGTGGTTTAGGACTCCCCTCTACACCAGCCTCTCTATTCTACAGTTCATTTTTCAAGAGTCATCCAAAATGGGATAGCTTTTACCATGTGCACCTTTGTACTCCATACAAGACTAACACTGTGTGTCAAAAATATTGTTTTATTCTTTAGTTGGAACAGAAGCTGACCAGGTCCTACTGCCATGAAAAAAAAAAAAAAAAATCACATTTAAAATTGGTTACACTAACAGCCTCCAGTAACACTCAAAGAGCACACTATCCACAAAATAAAAACCAAGATGTTCCAAAGAAATATCCATGTTGTCCTCAAAATATTTGTTACACAGAATACAATCAAGTTTACTGGTTATGACAATTCATAGAATTTCTCCAATGTTTTCTTGAGATGCATACAGTTTGCTGCTGCAGTGCATCAAATAGCACAGTGTGTCACATGCTATTTCTCCATAAAAAGGCCACTGGAATATCCATCTGATTGTGAACCGGGTTGCAAACTGCTGCGCAAACTCTCCCAAGAAGTTTCCTGAAGATCTCACAGCTCATCTTTATCCCAGTCATCCAGATCCACATCACTGAGATCAATATCATCTTCAACCGGAAGCTGTGGAAAAGGGAAGGTTTTGAGCACGTGTGACTTTGAAAGATGCTCACTTCATCCTGAGAGTAAAGCTCCCACCTGTCATCTTTCATTCACAAGAATTCAAAGCACGTTAAGCACAGGACAAGTGATCAGAGCGTAGATGAGAAGGTTGTTTTCTACTAAAAAATATACTCCAGATAAAGGCAAAGACAGATAAACTATGTAACAAAACTACTACCATATTCTATGTCCTAATTCCATCTGAAGTAGATCAAAGGACTGTAGTAACTTGATTTTATACAGCAATGTTGAACCTTAAAAACATACTCAATCCCTGTGAACATACTCAATCACTGTCTTATTACACAGGCTTTACCTTACAAACTATCTGATATGAAGACTGATGGTAAGGTCAGCATATTGCAGAACCAAAGCCTCTACAAATGTTCAGGTCTTGAATGCATACACTACCACATCCCTTACTCAGCATGGGCAATAACACATTTCGGTCTCAAGGGATTCAGCTCTCAGATTACATCCTAACAGCTAGGCAGGAGAATCTGTCCATGATGTCAGATGATTAATCTGGTGTTTGGTCTGGTGGCAGGATTTAGATAATGGGAAATCAAACACAGCTTGCCACAATCTTTGAAGAACAAGGATTTTCACATTGCCAGTTCTTAGCCACTCTGTCCAGTCACTTCTGAACCTAGCAAATCATTAGCACTTCTAGAGATGGAGCACCTCTTACCTCACCATCTTTGCCATCCCAAGGTTCCACTGAATGAATTTTAGGGAAAGCTCCACCACCCACTGGTGCTGTAGAGCCACGACCAACAGAAAGTTCCCTGAGAAAAAAAAAAGTAGAAGTTATGCTTAAGAAATTTTTCCACTCTCCATCCACCTGGAACAGTGCCTGCTTCAGATAAAGGGAAGTTAGTTTTGAAATCTGCTTGCATCTCTTGAAGGAAATCTAAACTGTCTGGAAGCAAAAGCTTTTCGAATTGATTAGCAGGAAATGACAAAGAGCCCTTAAAGCAGCACTGCAAATTTACAGCTGGATCCAAAGAGACAAACTGTGTGAGCTACACTGTTTCGTATTTCAGCAGTGTCCCTTGTAACACTCATGAACAAATACAGCCCCTTTAACAGTGTGTGGTGTATCACTTGAGGCAACTCCAAGAGCAGCCCATAATTTCAGTTCTGGAAGGCAAATAAGATTGAATAAGCATTCCTCCCTAGGTGGAGTCTACCACTTTGATGCTTTTTATGCTCTTTTCAGTGCCAATATTCTTACTTTCGGTCAACACTGTTGAGACTGCCTATTAGATTACAAAAGCTGCACGCAGCAAGCTGAGTTAACAGCCAGCTACACCAGCTGTGACTGTACTGCTTTCTCTAGGCAGCACAGCTGAGCTGAAGTGTGAAGTAAGAGATTATTACAGCAAGTATTGCTCTGTAGTAAGACAATACCAAACTAATTATCTAATGCAATATAAGCTGTTAAGTTGGTTGTTATGCCCTGAAAGCACTATCCACCCTCACCAGGAGAGGCTTCACTCAGATCGATTTTATAGACTAAGAGCATTTGCCATGTCTGAGAAAGGCAGACATTTCTCTCACATGCATTAGCACAGACTGTCTGGTATTACTCTTCATGCATATGAATCCTAAATTTTACTCTGAGAACCTTCCCTTTTTGACATTAAGAAGTCTGATCACTTGCACAGGTAAGAGATTATAGCATTGCTCCCATTAATCCAGCTGAAACAGAATTCCATTAATGTGTTTCTTATGGCAAGCTGGGGAGAGACTTGTATTTCCTTTTGCAATTCTGTCTGTCCTCTGCCATTCTCCAAGCCAGGACATGGAAAGAACACTGCTAATGTAAACTCTCAAAGGCTCTTTCACACCTTACAGCAGCTGGTATTTTACCCAGAGTTCCCACTTCACTTTGACCATGCTTAGTTAACAGTCTAAGTTTAGCTGCTCTGTTTCAGTGCTGCTGCCACCTTCTGTCCTCCCCCCCATTCCCCTTCCCCATTCAGTTCTTCTCAGCACCAGCTCTTGCGCAGCTACACAAAGAGACAGTTTCAGGGAACTTGAGCTGAGCAGAAAGCTACTGACTTTTTGGATGGACTGCTTCAGCTCCGCCAATTAGTTTATCACATGCTAGGGGAATGGGGAAGACAGGACTAGACCAAACCAGAAAGATGAACAGCAACATACACAACCTCAAGAACCTCAGCAGCATCCATTTAGATTCCCAAATCAGAAACTCTCCAATTACTAATCAGAATGCACTGTTTGAATTAAATAATATTGATTACCAAATTTCTTGGGTTACCAGGGAATCAGAATTTTTCAAGATCAAAGCCCACTTCTGTTTCCAAACTGTTTTCAAAAGTTGTGCTAAAAGTATCATTTAAGTCTAAGTGGCCAACTTCTTAGTTCTGTCCACCACAAAAAGGTAGAGACTGCTTTATTAGTTGCAATCCTCCCTGAAATCATTCCTTCACTCCAGTGAATGCTTGTCATCTTATTTCTCTTAACTGTGCAAGCCTCATCTGATCCAGGAGAGCCTGATTTTGGCCTATAGAGTCACAGCACCAGCTGCAGAAAGATTTAAGTCACTTAAAGATTCCATACCTGAGAAACTCATTAATCCCTTGCTCACTGAATGATCCTTTCAGAAGGGCAAATTTCATCTTCCGAGCATTAACAGCTGCCATTGCTGGATACCCAAAGCCTCCAATCCCCAAAGAGCTCTCAAGATCTGACTGAGCACCTGCTTCTGCCCACAGCCACCTTGAGGAAAAGACAAAATATAAAATGAACAACTCGGGCACTACAACTGTTTAGAAGTCACACATATCTTGCAATGTTGAAGCTGGGCTCTGAATTGCCCCTGACAGTGTCAATTGATCCCACTGTTACCGAAGTCAGCAGGGTTCTGATCTTCAACCACGTAACAGAAGAAACAGCACCTCAAGGGCACCTCTAGGCCAGCCCCACACTCACAGCCATTGAAGGCTGGATCAGCAGAAAAATCACGGCAGACAGTCCAGGAAAAGAGCTAGGTTGCCAGTCTGAACAAATTGCTACACTTTAGCCTATATTAAGCAAGGTTTAAAACGGCTCAGGTCACAGATCTAAACTTGACAAAGTACTGCCCAATTCCCACTGTAGAGATTTCTAGCCAAAGA